ACTGCATCATGGCACACTTAGAAGAAACAAAATAAACATATTTCATACATACATACTATTAGCTGTGCAATGTTTGACAGTTTCCTATATGCATTTATGGTTTAGTATTCATGGTTAGATATAACTGGAGATATGCAACGGCAGTTGTTGTTGTTGTTGTTGTTATTATTATTATTTTACTGACACAAAAACATAGTATGTCACAGCAAATGAGATCTATATGCTGGATTTCGTATCACAAAATCACAAGTCGAACGCTTTCCAAGCGTCTAAGACTGTGTGGTGTATTTTCGAATGATGCGTGCAGTTCCAAGTAAGGTGGCCTTTTGCAGTTGACAGATCATGACATTATTATTATTATTATTATTATTATTATTATTATCACCATAAAGATCTACCTAATGTTGTCCACCTTCAGTGTAAATGACTTAGATAGCATGCTTTCTAAATTTCAATGTCCGCTCTGAGCCCCCCCCCCCCAGGGGGGTTGAGAAGGGAGGGATAAAAATCCTGTAAATAAATAAAAATAAATTTCTTAGAGGACTGGACTAGATGGCTTTGTAGTCCATTTCAGCTCTCTGATTCTATCCATCTATGAGTCAGAAGACAATGTTCTACTACAAGTGTTCTAGGGTTGCAACTTATAAAGGTAGGTAAAAGTAAACGTTTTCCTCTGACATTAAGTCCAGTCATGTTCAACTCTGGGGGTTGGTGCTCATCTCCATTTCTAAGCCAAAGCCACATGCAGTCATGTGGCCAACATGACTGCATGGAGCGCCATTACCTTCCCACTGGAGCAGTACCTATTGATCTACTCACATTTTCATGTTTTCAAACTGCTAAGTTGGCAGAAGCTGGGGCTTACAGCGGTAGCTCACACCACTCCCCAGATTCTAACCTGCGACCTTTCGGTCAGCAAGTTCAGCAGCTCAGAGCTTTAACCCACTGCCCCACCAGTAGCTCCGGTGTAATATCTCACATTAATATTAATGGAAATTCTGAACCAGCATGCTTATGATATGGCTAAGTTTGTTTTAGGTTTCCAATGAGACCTTGTCACCAATCCTTGTTTCCACAACAATCCCAGTATTTACTGATTACATCACCATTATCTGCACTGTGTTCTGTCATTCCCTCAAAGTCCAGTTGTTATCAGTTAATAGCTAGAGATTGACACGAACTGTCTGGCCTCAAGGGTATTGTGTCTACCATTCATGAAACAATGAATAAGGCACAAAGAAAAAAAATGAAGCAAGCAAATTATTTCTTCCATCTTAGTACTCTTAATGTTTTCTTAGCAGGAAGTCTTAGTGAATTCAACAGCACTTCAATCTGCAAAGGATTTTGGGCTGTGATCATAGGAGAAAGAGTTTCTAGCAATGTTTCTACAGTGAAGATACAGATCAGACAAAGTCACTCTAAGCCTTGAGAATATCCAAGGCTACCAGGACACTCATGCCTTATTTATCAACTGGGATTAAAGGTGGCGGAGAATGTCCACTGCAACTGTGTAAATAGAAAACCATATCAGAAGGATGTGACAGAGCAAATGTCAACTGGAGCTGTTCTGAACCTGGCTTGTGATGACAGATAAGACTCATCATGGTGTTTCCACAAGAAGGCATGAGCAAAATCAATGCTACTTTATCCCCATTTACCCAGTGTGATTATAACTTCTTTTATTATTTTTTTCTGAAATAGATACTTTTCATGTGCTATAGGTAATCCTGAAATAGGGAGAAATCACACATGTTGTTACAGCTCGGCCATTTCAAAGCATCTTCTGTTGGAATGAAATAGCTGAGGGTAAATTATTTAGATGCTTCTGCCATAAATCCACAGGAATTCCCTAGACAGTGGGACTAAATCCACCAATTTTGTCTTGACCACCAAGTGGTAATCTTGAGCTAGTATGAGGTCACAAAGAAAAAGGAAGCTGCTTTGGATAAACAGAGCTTTGTGGTGTTGACTATCTCTGTAGGAAATCATGATGTTTCTTTCCATCAGAGCTCAAATCCCTTCTTTCTCAGTTGCCACAGACGACAGACAGGAATTTTGTTGAATTCTCAACTACAACTTGTATACATCCTAATATTTGTTGTAATATGAAGCTCAGCTTGCTATTGACATCTACACATTTGTACAGATTGCAGTGTGATGAGAAGCAACAAAATACAGACAAAAGTGCAGGTTTTAAAAATGTCAATGGCTTTAAAATGCTAATTCAAAAATCCACAAAATCCTTCAGGGGAGTATGAAGATAATGTACACAAATGAATAGATCAAAAATCAGTATGAAATCCATACTTAGGAATAAGAAGGGAAATTGACACCAATTTTCTTGTGAGAAGAAAAAAAATGCAATCTGATATGAGACAAGGGCAGGGCGGGAATGCAGGTGTGATTGGAAGAAAGACAACAAAACTGAAATATTTTCATGTCCCTGCCTTATGCTCCACTGGCATTTAAAGTTAATTCTTGTATCCTTTTCCATGTAATTTTCCTCCAATTTGTAACAACATTTGCATTCTGTCTTTAACTCTATGGGGGTGTGTGCACGTGTGTGCGTGATGATTTATTATGACACCATGAATTTTATTTGATTTTCTTAGTAAACAATATTCAAAGGTAATTTTGCCAGTTCTTTCCTCCCAAAATATGACCTGCAGCTCCTAGCATTCATTGGCAGTATCCCATCCAAATACTAACAAAGGCTGACCTTACTTAGCTTCCAAGATCAGATGAATTTAGTGCCTTTAGTCCATATCAAATGATCAAAAATGGGTTACTGCTCCCCTCTCTGTTAAAAAGATATATCAAGTGTTGTAAGAAGATAGCTTACCTCCACGCTATGGAACAGACCATATCTCCATATATGAGCTTGTGTATGTTTTGAGATCTTCTAGGGAAGTCCTTCTTTCTGTGTCCACGGTAAAGCTGACACCATCATTGTTTGTAATTCTACAATGTTTTCTCCCACATCTTCCATCTTTTTTCATCAAAAAAGGATGGATATTCTTTTACAAAATATGTTATGCAGAAAATAAATGGAATAGCTTCCCAATGTGTTATGATTCCCAAATATTAGCAGAGCATTGATAGAAATCTCTGAATCAATCAGTAGGTCATAACCAGTTTATGGGTTCTTTAAGCAATGTCATTAACCCCTTCTTCTATTTCCTCCCCCAACATGATTCCAAGTCCATAGTGTTGTGAGATCGATAGGTAATTCCAAACCTTATACTGGACAAAATTGATTATTTTAGGACTGTATCTCTTGGAATCCTGTGGTGTGGGATTATGGGAGTTGTGGTAAAAGAGCGCCACAATTTTTCTAAGCTCTGATGTAACCATGTCAGTGTCATTATTTCATATGAGGGGTGCAACACAGGCCTAAGGACATCCAGACAATTTGAAATAGTTACTTTGGAGACTGCAAATCCGCACATTCTCTTAAGAGGGGATTCTGGCTGTTAGAATCCCAAAACCAATACAATTTCTTTGCCCATAAGGGATGGGCCAGCATTGTGCTAGTTGTGTTCAGAAAACTTTTAGGACTACAGCACCCATAATTTCCCACTTTCTACTCCATCTGGGAAATTCTGGATGATGTAGTTTTTAATTAAAATGTTTTTAATTGATATGTATGTATGTTTATGGCATCTAATTGTTGCCAATCTATATGCCACCCTGAACTGCCTTGGGGCTGAAAAGAGCGGAATAAAAATGCTGTAAATATTAATAGTTAAAAATTCTGTAAACTCTGGTTGTCTCCTATCTTGTGACCAATCCATACAACTATTTACCAAAGCAGCATGGGAACCAAAGCCCCTGCAAAGCTTTGCCATGCCATTCTGGTAGTGTATAGATCAACCCATAGATCAAAAATAAGAAAATCTATTAATTTCAGGATGTTTACATCACTTGACAGCTGAGCCCTAAAAAGGATGATGGTCCAGAAAAAATGTCTCCTGATTCAACAAAGAATGTTCAGCTGACATAGTCATATGCAAGCTAGTGCCGTTTATTGTTTTAAATCAGAGATAGGAAACATATGGCCTGCAGGCTCCATCCGGCCCATGGGTTTATTTTTTTCTTCCAGACCCCATTTTCTCCCACCCCAAAGGTTGGAAGATGGGGATTGATTGCAGGCAGATCAAAAAGGCTCTATTGTTCAAGGCAGGAGAAAGGGCTTAACTGGCCCCAAGGACAACACACTCAAATGAGAATGGGTATTCTCGATCTTGAAAAGAAAATGAAGGTTGACGTCTAACTAGGGGATAGTGAACTATTTATACTGATGAGGAGAAAGGGTCCAGCAAGCAGGAGGGGGCCCGCTGCCAAATTTGCTTTGCAATAAAGACATTGTACTCAAGACACTAAGTTGCTGCTAGCTTGCAAAGACATTCAGAATGTCACATAATTGGTTTGGCAAGGCATTGGCATGATCTCAAAACACCTGCTGAGAAGGACACTGTTCTTTTGGGGGGCAAAAAGGTTATCCCTTCCCAGTGTCTGGCAACTTCAGCAGTTTTGGCACCTGCTGTCAGTGTTCAGAACGTATCCATCCTAAAAGGTGTGTGAAAGTGTAAATAAATGACAGCCCAGATAGACCCACATCATGGAATCAAATTCAAGGGGCAAAAATGTCCAATGTACCTGTGATGAACTTGGAACTAGAAAGTGCCCTCTTGCATGACATACATTTACATCTTTGATCTCATGCAAATGGTAGGAAGAACCCCAGGATAGAGATGAGCAAGAAAGGAACTGTAACCGACATTAGCTCTACCAGATACAAAACGCACATATAAGAATGCACATATATGGTGGGAAAATGCATGGATAGACTTGCTTCAATATGCTTTACTTCAGAGGAGAAATGCATTTTAAGCAATGCATTCACTTTCAAATGTGTGTACAAATGTTGGCATATGGAGAGTGGGCTGGCAATAAGCAAGAGGAATATATATATAAAGAACAACAAATATGGAATCAAATACAGTCTGCACAAGGGATGGTTTATTCAGTACTAGGAAATCTTGAGAAATACAATTTTATTCAATTAGAATCTTCACAATTCAGGGCTGAATTTTCATGAAGAAAAATTTCTAGGGAAATGGCCTTTTCTGTTCGTGAATGTTTGTTTTCAGTTGTGCAACATTGCCATTCCGCAGATGGGTTGTGCAGGGCAATTAATGCCCAACTGTGCATGCAGAGAATAATGTACCATCTCAGCTAGTATTAGAAACTTCAATGGGGTGGGAGGGGGGCGGTCATATTTGTGATTCCTGGGTTTCCCCAAGGGTGCTAAAAATGCCCTCTCATAAGAAAAAGTGTTTTCCAGTTCTTGAAAACTGGGAATGACCAAAACAAAGTGTGATTCAAAGACCTTGGCATCTCAAAGGAATTCCCTACAAGATGTGTCACTAAAGACCTCATCACATGAAAGTCCAGAAGCTCCATGCTTCTTGGTGCTGCTGGCACGCTGTGGGCACGGTGTCCACCAGAGCCCATCAAATGATGCAGGGCTACTTCCAGCAGGGCTCCATTGGGGTTTGTGCCAGCAGCATGCTGGCAGCAGAGAGAAAAGGAGCCTAGACTCCTTACTCCTCATAGAAGAAGCCAGGAAGGATTCAGGAAGTAGCTGGGGACAGTGGGGAAAGTAGTGGGAAGGGATCCCACGACCACCGACAGTAAGGGCACAAAGCATTACACCTCCCCACAGTTTCCCTGGTGTCACCGGCTTCTGGACCTCAATATGATGAGATCCATAATGAAGGCAATTTGTGTGGGGAACCTAAGGACTACAAAGTCAACCATGGGGACAACTTGTGATTGCAGGGTGTCATTTTACTCAGACTTCCTTTAGAGGACTTCTATGAAAGTAATGAACATTATGTAATCTCAGGAATAGTAGGATTGAGAAGACATAATAAATTTTTGGGGTGAATCAGAAGAGGATATATTCTTGGAGTGGATCAGAAGGGGATTGCTGTTAAAGTGGAAAGCTTCTTTTAGAGAAGCACGGGAGCCTTCTACGTAGCTTGTCCCTGTCTTTGTACACCACTGTTTGGCCTATTACTCCATGAAATGAATGTGACACAGATGTTAACCCCCTACCAGGCTTTATGTGTGAATGGAGACAACAGAAAAGAGAAAGAGAATCAAAGGCTTATTGTTCCAAGGACAAAAAGAGACAACATGTCTCAGAAAGCTGAAGAAGAGCTAAGCAAAGAGAGTTGAGGGGAGAAGCCAGTCAGGCCTTGTTAACTTCAGGATGGGATGATTCATTTCATTGACTTCTTTTCATCCTGGCATCTTCTTCTCCTGCTTGGAAAAGCCCATTCTGCAAGTTTGTCAAAAAGATACAATGATTAATAATGAAACAGGTCACTGCTATAGTGTGTAGCTCTCCACTTGCATACACATCATCATCATCATCATCATCATCATCATCATCATCATCATGTATCTGTACCTATTTTGAGGTATTGAATGTTTGCCTTTTTATGTGTAAACCACGCTGAGTTCTTCTAGGGAGAGAGAGCAGTCTAGAAATAAAATTTTATTATATATTATTATTACAATACTAAGCTACAACTTATATTTCCATACATTAAAAAGTCTTCTTTACCAGGACTCAGTTTGTATCTGGGAATTATTAAGACTGGTGGATTTATTTATCTCTTTATTGAAATTATATCCTCCCTTTTTCCAAGAACCTCAAGTTGATGAATTCAGTTCTCACGATCTGCACAACAGCCCCTTCAGGTAGGTTACTCTAAGAGAAAGGGAGAGAGAGTGACACCCACTTGGCACTATGGTAGAATGGGGCTTTCTCAGTTTCTGGTCTACATCAGCTGTTATCATTTAAAGCAAGGGTCCTCAAACTTTTTAAACAGAGGGCCAGGTCACAGTCCCTCAAACTGTTTGAGGGCCGGATTATAATGTGAAAAAAACATGAATGAATTCCTATGCACATGGCATCTTACTTGTAATGCAAAACCACTTAAAAACAATACAATAATTAAAATGAAGAACAATTTTAACAAATATAAACTTATTAGTATTTAAATGGGAAGTGTGGGCCTGCTTTTGGCTGATGAGATGGGATTGTTGTTATTGTTGTTGTTGTTGTTGTGTGCTTTCAAGTCATTTCAGACTTAGGTTGACCCTGAGTGAGGGCCGGGTAAATGACCTTGGCGGGCTGCATCCGGCCCCCAGGCCTTAGTTTGAGGACCCCTGATTTAAAGCCATATACTGGATTGTAGTTGGGGATTGTGGGACTACTAGGAAAAATCCTCCCATTTGCCTCTACAACATGTTCCAAAGAGTTTACAGATTTTCCAAAATATATTTTTGGGCATCACGGAGAGCTGCAGAGCAGGCAGGAAGTAGAAGAAAGTTCTTTTGCACTGGTGACCGAATAAAAACATGACATTAGATGTATTATTATTACTAACTCTCATAGGCATTTATCTTCCACCTCTCCTTATTCAGTTATTACAATGACTTGCCTGGTTCCATCTTTCTCCTTACCTTATAAAAAAAAGAAAACAAAAACAACAGAAGAAAAATAAGAAAATTATGTTAATCTCAAAGGTGCAGTCCAACACTCAGCTTAGCCATATTGGTACGAGCTAACAAACACAGCTGTCTCTTATATTCTTATTTCGACACATAAGAAAGCCATTATATTTCAACTGGATGGTAATGAAGATTTCAAAAAGAAAAAAAATGCATGTAAAAAGTTAAAGCAGCAACAACAGCAATTTTAGCAGAGCAGAAGCTTCTTGAGCATGGCAGGAGAGCGAATGAGCCTAAGAAATTACAGGAGCAGAATCAAGTTACGAAAGGCTATTGAAAGAACTACATTCTGTACAGGAAAGTTAGGGTCTAGCTACCTGACTACAATATCTAGAGACATCTTCTCTCCATTCTCACAGGAGAAGAACAAAGAGATGACTCAGGGGTTGACCATGTGATCTGAAAAAATCTGAATATGGTATATAGCCAACTGACACACTTTTATTTCTTTCCTGAGATGTCTTCACTCCACTTTTTAAAAAAAACATATTGCTATGTTGCGTTATCTCTAAAGGCAGAAAATTAGCAGGGAAGCTTCTCTGCACATTTTCTGCCCACAGAGGGGACCAAAATCATGCTTTTTTTAAAGCAAGGGATGGCCATGTTTAAAGGTGGCCTTTAAAGATATAAAAACACAGTCCTTACCGAGCTTGGAGGCTCCTTCTTGCTTCGTGTATCCTGAAAATGACGCAACAAAGTTTCCCAGGCGGTAGGGAAGAATTCCCCCTTGAAAGCTTTATGTGTTTTTTAAAGGCACTGCAGAGCAAAGAGGAGCCTCCAGCCTCCCTGTTTTTATACATTTAAAGCAAAAAAGGGGTGAAGGAGGGCAGGATAGTTCTGCCATCCCTCTTCTGTGGCCTGCTTGTGCCTGCAGGGACAGAATGGCAGGGTAGATTGCCCCCAGGATCACCGGTGGCAATTCAGAGGTGAGTCTTCACACACCCCACAGCTGCAAAGATTTGGACCTTATTGAAAGGTCTGGATCCTCTCAGGTGATTTGTTTTAACTTGGAATAAATTTAAATTTAAATTAGGAGGTGAGCTTATCACAGCAGGCTAAACCGCTGTGCTTCAGAAAAATCCTGCTGATCAAAAGGTCCAAAGTTCAAGCCCGGGTTGGGGTGAGCACCCACTGTTAGCCCCAGCTCACCTGCCTACCTAGCAGGTAGAAGGTAGAAATGTGAGTAGATAAAATAGGTACTGCTTTTAGTGAAGAGGTAATAAAGACGCCCTTAAGGACATTGATCGATTGGAGGAAAGCTCCTCGGTATGGATGATGGAGAGACAGCCTACCCCGACCTGGAGTCGTACACAGTCTCCAAGATACTGAAAAAACTGCCTTTACCTCTGTTTGTGTTATTTGTCTCTGTCAAATATATAATCAACATTGAATGTTTACCTTATGTGTGTATTCTGTAAAAGTCGCTCTGAGTCCCCTTCAGGGTGAGAAGGGAAGGGTATGTCTCCTGTGCTATGCTAATAATATAATATAATAACTATAATATAATGCATATACGTATAATATTTATACTATTATAATGTAATGCAATATAATATCAATACTAATAATATGATATTATAATTATATATTTATATTACATGTGATATTACTAATAATATTACAGTATAATGGTATAGTAAAATATAGTAATATTTAATATGGATATTGTACTATGCTAATAATATTATATATATATATATATATATATATATATATATATATATATATATATCTCACACACACCTTGTAAGATCTTGTAAGCCTCTCTGAGTCTCCTTCGGGGTGAGAAGGGCAGCATATAAATGTCGAAAGTAAATAAATAAATATACTATAAATATATTTGCAGGTTTATCCAGGTTAATCTTCATTATCATGAGGCATTGTTTGGACAGTTTATGATAATGCACCCCCTACACTGCATTTGTGTGCAGTGTGGATGAGGCTTAAGCTTCACATGAAAAATACAGGATATTTATCTTGTCTGTTAAAACCTTAGTTCTAAACAGCCATCCAGTTCACTTTTAAGAATTGGAAACAGAATGTTCATTTGCTTGTCTCTTCCAGAATGTCTTAAAATTAAACAAAGGAATCAAATTTAGGATTGGAAAATGTTGAGCAAACTTACAAATGGAAAAAGACAAAACTGAGAAGGAAAAGTGACAGATTTGTTAATCTCTCAATTCTTTCCATCATGTTCTGATCAACAGAGCTGTCACTTCTGGTTACTGCTCATCAGACTTTAGGTTCAAACTACTGACCTCAGGAACAAGTCATGGGAACAATGGCAGAAAACATTCACCAGAACAGAAGCTAGTAGTTTCTAGTAGCAATAAAGTTTATTATTACTTTAACTTCACAGAGACAAACCATCATCTGACCCAAATAGAAAGGTTTCTTTTTGTTTTGTTCTAAACAAGCAGTAGAGATGAGTACGTTCCTGGTTGATGAGCCATGACAGGAAAACTGTAAGAACTCACCAGGGTGGCTATATGGTCATCTTCCACCAGAAGTTTTAGCTGTTGTGTTGGGTTTTTTTAAAAAAATGTCTTTGTTTTCATGTGTGGTTTTCCCAGTTTCGCAGGGGTCCTATGCCCCTAACCCCAGTGAATGTGAAGAACTGGCTTTATAACTTTTTCATCACTTATGCCCCCTTCACCACACCTCCATATTTGTGAATCAGAGTCAAAGGGCTCAGGTATGTGCACTATGTAATATTTTTCCACCTGAACCTCTTATCACCAGTCAAATATTATACAATTAAAAGCATCAGCAACAACAGTAACACAATCCTCCATTCAGGGAACTTCCTATTGAATAACTGACAAAGAATTTCTGCCTGAATCGTTTTATTTCTTCTTGTGAGCCTCCCCAGAAACACCACTATAAGAAGTCTACAAAAATACTATTATGAACAAAAAGAGAAAGCAACTGTTAGGAAGAGCACTTGGATGTGAACAGTGGGTGTCCAAACAGCCTAGGACCAAGCTAAGATAGTGCAGTTATTTGAGCTCCCATCAAAGGAAAGAGACATCTGTCTATATGAGCACCAACTTGCTTAACCTTTTGCAAAGTAGCTTGCATTTGCTTTGTGATTAGTTATAGAGAGATACATTTAGCCTTCAATGATAACTTTGCTTATGTCTGCATCACCCAAGAAACATCATGTCTGGATGGAGTACATGACGACAACATAAAATATTTATGGCATTGGTTGTATTTTAATGTCTTTTATGTTTGGAAATAGCAAGTGTTAGAGAAGTCAGACTCTAGTAAGGCTAAGCAGTCACAAGCGAACCAAGTCTTTCCAGGTCATGCATGAGCCATCTAGACAATGATGAGAGAAGGAGAAGAGGCATTGAGCAAAATATCAAACATTGCTAATCATTGGCACAACAATGTCAATTAAGAAGAAAGATAAGACGTAAACCGTATAGCTGGATCAAGGGGTCAGAAATCTGAAAAACCAAAAGCATGCGAGAGTGTTCATCAGTTCCGTTGAACAGTTGCCTGCATTGATCTTCTGTCACTGGGAGATTTATGGCTGTTTCTCCTTGACAGTCAGACAGATAATTGCAGATAATTGTCCACTCCTGTTTGGCTTACCATTGCTCTACAAACGGAGGTCTTTCCTTGGCATCCAACTGCTCCGGCTCAAGTGGGGAGAGTCTGCATTGTCTGAGATTTCTCCAAATTGTTCAGATTATGGAGATGAGCCAACAATTCTACTCGAAGTAGTGCCAGGGTCAGACACTTTCTATC